CTCTCTCTCTCTCTCTCTCTCTCTCTCTCTCTCTCTCTTTCTTTCCGCTTCTGCTTATCTCTGCCTTTTTCTCCGTCTTTCTTCACCTAACGCGGTAGAAATCAAGAAATCGACGCACCCGTGGATTTTCTCCCGAGAATCGGTTCGGCGCTTCGTATTTACGCGTAGGAGTCGTGAATTGCCAAGACGATCGCGCGCGCGCACACTTAGTACATTGTTTATCCGCAAAAATATCTTATACCGCTCTCTCCTCCAAAGTCGATCGGCAACACGTATAGTGATACTTCTATACATACAGATAGGCAGGTAAGATAGATGGAACGCACGCGCGCACGCCAAAGGGAGTCGCAGTGGCTCTAGCTTTTGGATACGAGCGCTACCTCCGTAGCGTTTTTACGGCCGGGGTTGGCTACCGCCCCCGCGGGGGGTATCCTTTTGGAAAAGGGCGAAGGCGGAAGGAAGCGCGGCCCAAGTATGCCGGAGCGGTATTCGAATACTTTATAAAATAAGAAGGTAGGGGAGACACCTCGAGATTATACCAGAAGGGGTCTTAGCGTGGGTGAAGAGGGATGCTCTCGTCTCACGGTTATGAGGGCGGGCCCAGACACGGTGCGGTGGAAGGGATCAGAACCCGTAGAACGTGGAAGAGAGGGAGCAACTCCGCGGGGACAGTTGAAGGGAGGGGTAAGGGAGGGCGGACGCGGGTACACCAAGCGGGAGCTCAGGAAGCCGCGTCGACGAAGGATTTGTGAATAACCGCGCTGCTATTCGGCGACCGGGTGAGACAAGGACGCACGTAGACTCGGGACAAGGCGCGCTACCACTTCTTCCCTTCTTCGTCGGACTTCCTCTTTATCATCGTCTTCACCTCTTCCTCTGCCAACACCCGCCGTCACCCTCTTCCCTCATTTTCCTTCTTCTGCTCCCGTTCCTCCTCCGCATCCTTCTCACCACCACCACCTCCTCCTCCTCCACCTCCTCCTCCTCCCTCGCCTCCCTAGCCGCCTCTTTTCTACCTCTACCACTGCAACGAGGTCGAGGAAGGAACATCCTGGACGTGTACGTTCCCCGTGGAATTGAAGGGAGGCTACCTTCACACGATAACTGGTGGGTATCGGTGAGTTGGTTCGGTAGGGAGGTGTCTCCCGGTCCTCCAACCAGAAGAAGCCAAACGACGACGACGACGACGAAGAGACCTTTGGCGGTTACACACGGCGTCCTACCGTCTTCTGGTGTGCCTACCTATTCGGGCTACCAGCGAACCGAGCGACCAAACGAAGCTTCAGTCGACGCCGCGCACCCAAACGGTCCAGACCTGTCAGCCCGGAAGACACACGCGCAGCAACTCAACACTTTCACGAGCTACCGACCTACTAAGTAATACGGAGAACCCGACTGTTGGTAGCGTGACACTATACGCGCACTACAGTTCGTTTTACAACTAACCGCATCTCGCGAGTTTCGTTCTTTCGTTTAATAAAAGTTTACGCTTCCATCCAAGTTCGAAAGCTGTCTCTTGCGGAAGAGGACTACTAGACGTTGTTCGAGGACGAATTCTTACTCGCATTTTTTCTTTTTCTATCGGTAAGTCAATTCATTTTTATCTAGCATGTAATTTCAAATATAATTATATTTAAGATTGAAATAGTTGTTTAATACATATATATTAACACTTAATATAATAATTAATTGATTATTCACTCAATAATATTAGAAATGATACTAACTGAAAAGATAGTCACACGTAGTTTATAAATCGGATATTTTCTAGAAAATCATGTTCCTTTTTCTTCCTCTTGTATCTCGGTTTATTAAAATATACACGATATCACGATTTAAATATATTATAGAACATTATTAAAAGTTCTTCCTTTTATGGCTCGCAGTACTACATATTAATATAGTTTTACTTAAATATAATCTTCTTTAACTGTGTATTTGTCTTTACTACAATACTTTATCTCAAATATTTATCTCATATATTTTTTAACTCATATGAAATGACAAAATAAAAAATTGGTTGTTACGTTTATCAAAAATTAATTCTACTACTAAGCAACTTTTTTTTATTTATATCGTACTTTTCTTCATTTCACGATGAAATCATCGCCAAATATCATCTCAATTCTGTAGGTAGAATGAAAGTAAGAACCTATTAAATCTTCGAATCTTTGCGTTTTCTACAGTATATGCCTCCGCGTGTCAAGAATTAAACGAACGGGGATAGAGGTGTGGTCTGTATTCGTTCATGTATATCAAGTCCTCGCTTCTGAATCAGTAGCAAGCTGTAGGGCGGTGCACAGTAGCTACTGCATTTTGATTGGTCCTCAATCTTGCGGGTTGTGTCCACGGCGACTTTACGATGGTCTCCTTCAATCCTTCGAAAGATCTACAATCAGATTTCTTAGTAATTCGTGCTTCCAAATAATAATTATGATTTCATGTAAAACGCATAAATATATAAGTTGTATATCATAGACGACTTTCTAATTCAGTCGCGTCCACTTTTAATTTCTCGCGATGACATTCAACCATATTTGGGTAGTTTATATAATATTTGCAGAGTAATGGAGAGACGATAAATAGAATTTTGAATTAAAAAATAAAAACTTTTTCTTTTGAAAACTTGCTTACTGATTTCATCACGTTGATCAGTAACTAATTACTACAAAGCAGTTATCTTAATTATACTTACATTTTCTACGATCCTATTGAAAAATTTCGTTTTAATCATTTTTCTTCGTTTATTGCGTAAACGCGAATCGATCACCCAGAGAAAGATTTTTTCGATTCAGAGAAATGTTTCTTTGTTATATGGTTGAAGGAAAAATTTTTCTTTGATTTGAACGTCATTTTTGGAAATCGAATAAAAAAATTTATTTGACTTCAAAAAGAAACGTTTAAATTGAAGAAATACGTTCGAATGAAAGAAACTTTTTCTTCAATCGTCTAGCTAAGAAACATTTTTCTCAATCGAAGAAACCTCTCTCTGATTGATCGAGCTGCAACATGCGCCCGTTCCATGGAGATAGAGACATAGGAAGGTTCTATACCTACCAGGCATCTCTATACGGATCAAAACGGATCCATCACGGAGCTACCATTTTTCTTTAGCGCCGCGCGTGACGCGAGTCCGCGCGCGATAGGTAATATCTCTCATGAGAAACGCCCTTGCGTGATCGTCCGCGTATACCCCGTTGGTATCGCGATTCGACGTCTAGACAGCGGAGGGAGGGTGTGGTCCCACTTGGTGGACTTCTCCGGCTGCGTTCGGTAGCGACTGGCCGAAAACCGGTAGTCGGCGGTAGGGCGGTGCACAGTAGCGACTCTTCTTTGGTTGGCTACCGGCCTTCTCGCTGTGGTGAGCGAACGAACGAGGGCTACCGCTCCTTCCTTTATTCCTCCATACACGCGAGAACGAGTGCACGCACATCGAGCTGGGGCTCAACTTGGTTGGCCGTTCTCCGTTCTTCTTCGATTGGCTGCCGACTCCTTGCACCACGTACCCCGCCCTTCGTATCGCGTGATAGAACGGAAGTACCTACTCGCGATTGCCCTTTTACGAGAGTGTCTCGATCATTTGGAACGAAGTGAAGCGTCGTACTGTCGAATATCTCTTTTGGATTGCCCTCGTTAGGAGTAAACTCTTAAGTTAAACAACAAAGTCCTTTTTGTGCATTTTTCTCACGAAGAAATTAGCACAAAGTGAAATTTACTTGGGCTGTATAGGTGCTCGATGTATTGAATTTTCCATCGGTTTTCAACAGTACTCAGAGGTACTATTCACTGTAGATTACGTATTATTCGGAACGGATTCCGACTTCCGGAATTATTTCGAATAATTTCATAATACGTATATCCAGCATTGAAGCTTGCAGCAAAATAATTGTGCCGTTGTATGGATATGAACATATATTAATATATGTATTCTTAATGATTATATTTGTAACGTTAAATCTATTTTTATACGTTTATTTAATTTTCCCAGTTTTTCTCTTTGTTATGAAAAAAAAAAAAAAAAACTAATTTTCAGCTTATTCGTACCAATTACATTAGAATACAATGACTTTCCTATTGTGCGAATTGAATTAACAGTCATGAATAGCACGATTATCTTCATACGCTATAAAAGTTAGATTACACGATATCTATTTTAATTGCTTATTTAATCGCGCGCAATTCTATTCACGTCAAGAGGAAGCCTCGCACTTGATTATTCCGCGCATAGCGTGGTTCGTAACAAAATTCACTTTCGCGTAGCTCCGTACATACCAAAACGCGCTTCGGCTATTCGCAAATCTTCGTCTAGTATGGCGCATCCATAAACGCGAGCGCCAACGTATATCGCATTATCATACATTATCATACATTATCATACATTAAATGGAAGCATTCGATCACGCGAACTCGGTAGGCAAACATGGTAGCTGGCACGATGCTCGTCGCTTTCCACACGTTAACTCGTGCTCGCATTTACTGCAAATCTTACTTCTATTGTTACATTTGCGATATCATATATTTCATTTTACAGACGTTCCTTTATCCCGTAGAATATATCATTGAAACGGAAAGTATATCGGTAGCTTACGTCTGCTATTTTTCCTGCATTTTTATCGTCCAGTCGAATTCAGCGAGCTTAGTAATGGTTATCAGAGAACACGATCATACATTATCGACTCAAGATTATATTTGCACGTCCTCACCGGCATCGTCTGTAATATAAAACCTGAGCGTTTACACGGCTAATGTCGTTTTCCTCGGCACCCAACTCATTAACGCACAACTCATTAACTTCGCTTCACGCAAAGTGAGAACCTGTTCCTACCACATGTAACCCGTCTCGGGTAATACAAGCGTACTGTGACCTCGTAACTCTTCGACAAGATTGCCATGTAGTAGCTGGTGTTACCGTTCGTTTCTGCGGAACGTACATCAATGTTATACCCTTCGACAGATGTAGCTTTGTGTCAGTCGCTGTTCGAGAGTAAATTTTGAGACTGATTTTCAGAAGGGACGGATTAGACAGTTTTTCATCTGAATCCTCCGGAGACAAAATTTCACATGATTTCTATAATATATTCTATAGCAAACTGCATAAATAAATAATTTTTCCCATACAAACGAAATTACAAAAGACATTATGGTTTCCTGCCTGTCTCTTTATTTACGGATTTTTAAGGGTTAAATCCTTAGGAATTCAGTTTACACAAAAGTCGTAAATCCTGATGTATCCAATATATGCACGTAAACTTCTAACGGAGGTGACGAAGGTGTCCAGTTCGAAAACAGCCTACGGTATTGTTTCGGCGTACTTTTCTACATTTTTGTTTTTACGTGCCACAGCAATCGTCGGGTGGATATTTACGAGGTCTGAATCAGCGTCGGACGAGAACAAACAGAAGCGTGATATTTTGCCAGGGGACGGAGCGGTTCGTTTTCTTTTTTTTTTTTTTTTACAGAATGTGGAGTCGCGCGTAATGCGCAGTTCAGATTAGGCTCCGCCGCCTGTTAGCCACGCTAACCACGCGGGCTACGCCCAGGCACGCTTATTACTCATTCGGACACGCCACTTTATTCGAGCGTGCGCCGTACGCTTAATGCGAGCCGGTAGCGACTGGCCGACGCTCCTGTACAATGGCCGCGATTGGATCCCGCGGGCTATTTTTTAACATGCCGATTCCAATTCGAGAACCGTGCCATTAGACCGTGGCAATACGACTCCGATCCCTCATTCATTCCCTCACCCGGCTGAGTATCGTACGAGGGAGTCCCAAAAGTAATACTTACACGAGGTATAATTTGGCGTATTGTATATACGTACCTTGAAAAGAGCAAACTAAATTTTAATAAATCGTTTGTTTGAGTAGTACGTAGCAAGTAAATATTTCTTTACTAAATATAAAGACGTGTGTATTTAGTACAATATTAAGTTTATTTCTTTTTATTGAATAAATATTTATTAAGGGTAGTATTTTTTTTCTCAGTTCGTATTTTTCCTTTCTATTTTAATCACGGAGGGAATGTTTTCTGAATACATGCGTGGCGACGGAAATATTAAGTAATAAAATTAATATTATACTAATTTTTGACGCGTGAAAATAGAAATGACTTCGGTGGAATTCGATTACATCAGACCTCTTAAATTATTTTCAAAGTTTAAGAGACATCTCAAGGCGATCATGTCAAAGATTATGAACGGTACAAAGTAAATTGTAAGAAATCTAGAGAAATAAATTCAGATAATTTTAGCTCGATGATTTTTCATTATAATTATTATAATTATGCGGTAGAAGAATATACATATAACATAAAGATGATATGAGGAAGAATAAATATATACGAGCAGAACATATTTTGAATGTTCTCTGTTTATTATTATTATTGTCTGTTTTGTATCAATAATTATCACACATGATTATCATATAAACAATATTTTATTTAAATTTTATTGAAGAATTTAAAAGTCAATCCACATATTAATCACATAAAAGTTAATCGGTAACTCACTGCTCTTATGCTTCTTTTTATAAAACAATATCGCGAGCTCGGAAAATATTCTCATTTGCGTGGCGCCGGATAGTTAGCATAAAGATTACGGATCGTATTTGTGACGTGCATTTAGCGTTAATAGCGGTTGCCTCTTCCTCCTCGATTACTACGAATGTACGCAGCATCCCATATGAATGAAACTTAAAACTGGACAGTCGCGTTTGAAATTAAATATGCCCGGAGGACGTGTCGGAGATAATGATTTAAACTCGCGAATGGAGCAGACGCGCCCAATTAGGAAACTAGTCATTAATTTTTTTCGGAAGCACACAGCTTTTTATGGGCATTCACACCGTGTTTTTCTTTTGCTGACGGAACTTAACGCATAAATATTTGAGATAGTCATACAAGTTGAGTTTAGATCGGTGTATTATTTCTAACGGATTTTTTGAAAAAAAAAATTTTGTTTATCGTTTGCCATTCATTTTTAATTCCGTTTAGGAATAATCAAGTATACAAGTTCCTCATAATTTCACGCAGATGTAACTTTGCAAGATTTGTATAGAGTTCTAACATGAAATTATGTATAGAAAGAGTCGTAAATTTGTAAAGTGAAATATGAGACAAAACGTATACATATACTTGATATTTATATGAAAATTCTACAAGTTTTCATTTATTAATTATAATATTAAGTGGACAATCCAACTGTATCGCTGATTTGCAGGAATAAATTAGATAAAATTACAAAACAAAAGTTGCTTGTGACATTTCTGCAAAATGTCACAAGCAACTTTTCACACATTCTTATCGTATATTTATATAAAAAAGTGTTATGTATATTATAATTATATTTTACTTTTTGCATCTCTCCAGAATAATCGTACTTTAAAATCAATGTCATCTCACAACAGATTTTCCTCGCAGAATCAGTTGTAGTAAGTTGTAGTCAGCTTGTGATTCGGAGTTACCCTTTACACACATAGAGGTGAAGTACTTCCCTATGTCGTTTTAAAAGCGCATTCCCAATAAAATATCGCGAAAATAATTCGATCGGAGAGAATTTCTATTCCGTAAGGCGCATCGGCATGCGCGTGTCTTTCCACCTACGCATCTTCGTAAGGAATGCAAAATACTTCAGAAGTTGCTTCAACGTTACTAACCCGTTGCTCGTAGGCAACGGCGCTTCGCGTAAATATCTCAGATACAGGCGTTCCTCGCGACTCTCCGCTCTCGCAACTCCGGGTGATTCCCTCGAGCGTGCGAGTCAGATCGGAGGAGAATCATCGATTCTATGCTCTTTGCAGGCAGCGAGATACGAGGATTCTCTCGCGACGTGGTACAAGCAGTGATCTCACTCCCAGGAGTCAGCCGTGCCCGAGACTAGCTTTGCGCGGGAGGAGAAAAGCGAAGTCGGAGAACGACAGTCGAGAGAGAGACAGATATAAAGAGAAGGAAAGAGAGCATACGAAAGTCTGCGAACGAGGCAGAGAGAGAGAGAGAGAGCGAGAGAGAGAGAGAGAGAGAGAGAGAGAGTGTGTGTGTGAGGGGCACTCTAAGAAAGAGGAAGACAGAAGACGTGGTGGGAGTGACTCCGGGCGTCAGCGAGAGAGCGAGAGAGGCGGGTAGAGGGAAAGGAGAGATAGAGACTCGACCAAGAGAAGGAGCGGTGGGAATTTATAAGGATGTTCGCGATAATGCCGATGGAGACAGAGGGGCACGGCAGGGAGTTCGGCCGGCGGCAGAAGATGCGCGCCAAGTGCACGGTAGAGTTCGTCTGCAAGTACTGCCAGCGGCGCTTCACGAAGCCCTACAACCTCATGATCCACGAACGCAGCCATAAGGACGACGTGACCTTCACCTGCGAGGTCTGCGGAAAGACCTTCAAGCGGCAGGACAATCTCAAGCAACACAGGTACACACCGTCACATTTCGTTTTTACTAATTTTTTTTTTTTCCGTTTTTGTTTCACTTCGTTTTATTCGATAGTTTTTGTGTTTCATATTTTTTTGTTTTTTTTTTTTTTACGTTACGTTTTATTTGCTCTTCGAGGACTTCTATTTTTGCACGCTCGCACGGGACACGTACGTGATCTGATCCATGATCAATCGCCGCGATCTCCGAGTACTCTTTAGGGGGTCCCTTACAAGGGTCCTGTGTACGAGTATGGCGTCGCGCATATGAAAGAGAAGCCCGTGACATACACCTGACGTAGTAGAATATTGCCGATGTTCCTGTGGAATATCGCGGCAACCGATCGTGAATCAGACGTCAGTGCGTGACTCTCACTTGCAAGAACCTGCACTCGAAAAGCAATAGAGAAGCCATCGGGAGACGTTTTACTACGCGTCCTCGCTGTTTGCCACACGACAAGATGGGATAATGGAAAATGATTAGTTCTCAGTCAGTAATCAGCTCGGGAAGTCGAGCTAGATTGAAATTAACCGCCGTTAGATTGCGTCATCGGCTATCGTAGAGGTATTTTCCTGTTGTGATTATTTTTTTTTTGTTTTTTTTACATAGCATAGATAATAAGGACGAAAATTGTGATTCCATCGTATGTATTGTAATCGATAATCATTTTACAAACAGTGAAAAGAAGCGTAAAGTTTCAACGATATTCGTTATGTATGTAATTTTTTTTTTTTGTTGTATGTTATTCATCTTTATATAATAATCATAAAAATTAAAGTTGTGCGCGTGGAACTTTCAATTAAGATGAGATAAGCTATAAGCTCCTGGGAAACCCGTCAGGTCACCGATTTAACCTTTCGCAAAGTTAAAAAACGATAGCAAAAAGTAACTAATACTTGATCTGCTTCTGAAACTAATCTGGTTCACGATTATCGAACATCTTGTCGCTCGCAAAATCGCGAGACGCAAAACACGAATTATTGACTAGGTAGCTTTACGTATAATGTGTGAAAGAAACGTACCGCATTTTTGTACGAAAAAGAATGAAATATCGATATCATATGGAAACGTCTCACGATGGTCCCTTTAGTTGTAACATTGATTAACGACGCTCGCGCAAACCGTTCCATGCGTAAGAGATTTGTGTCGTTTAAGAAAGATGGATATTACAATAAATATGAAAGCGCAGTATATAAAGAAAAATATGCAAATACCAACCACTTGGCCGCACCCGTATCAATTTACAATTTTATAAATTATATCTTTGTGTGATATCTTATTTGTGAATCGAAAGACATTTTATTTTCGCTATGCATATGAGGATGTCAATGCAATGTCAACGCAATGTCAATGAGCGAAGAAGAATATATATTGGTTTAAAGGTATGGCGGATCACACACGAGAAAAGATGCGATTGAGAAAGGTTTACGTGAGTCATTTTTATGCATATAAAACTAGTTTAAGCCCGTCAAAGAAAGGATGACATCACGTTACAGCAGAGAAGGATTGCGTCGTTTTGAGAGTGATAATAAATTATAATTAATTAACTTTTTTTTTTATAAATATGAATTAACTTATTAGTATTATTTAAATAATAAATTCCACTTAAATTCTGATGAAGATATTACATCAATATGAAACGAATTCCCATGTAAATTTAATCGCTTGTGCTATTTTTATCGTTTTCCCGATTTCGGTCAGAATTGCGTTCTTCAAGTCAACAGGAAAGTTAAGACGCGCTAACTATCGTTTAAGCGGTCACGGTGCTGACCTCGAGAAGGTCAAAACCATTGGTTCGGCCGAAGGAGACCGCTACCGCGTTGACCTTTCGCATCAATAGCCTTGTAATGTTGCAACGTGTCGCCTTCACCCGCCTCGTAAGGAATAGAAGCGTGAATCGCGCGCGAGAGAGAAGAGATCCGCGAAGATCCGCGAACTTTGCACTCCTTCTCTTGCCTACGGGCGCGAGTCGGCGCGCGGCGTGTCGGTCCGCAGCGCGAGTCGCGCGAACACGCGCGGGCCCCATAGAATCGGGGCCTGACCCATAAATCAGTCTGAAATAATGCTGCCCCCGCATGGAACGTGTGCGCGCGAGCGCGTTTGAACGAGCGAGCGATAAAATAAATCTTCAATACTGGTGGATACTAATGGATACCTTGTATGTAACGGCGGTGGTCTTGTTTTCTGTTCTGTTGTAGATGTGGGTGGCGGTGAGCGGGAGCTCTGAACCTCCTGCACCTTGACACACGCACAACATACACACGCATACAAAATGGACACACCATTAATAATACAACAAACTGCAACAGTAATGGCAACAGCAACAATAACACTAGACAACAGAGTATGATAATAATTGCAACACTACAAACTACAACCATGCACTTTTTTTTTATTTGATACCCGCACTTTTTCCCGGTCGTGGCGAAAGCGCGATCAACAACTATGTCACTACCGCCACCACAGAAAACCCCAGCATGTGTATACTACTACTACTACTACTACTACTACTACTACTACTTCTTCTCTTCGTCTTCCTCTTCTTCTTCTCCTCTGTCTGCCTATTTCGCTATTTCGTCTTCTCACTGTGTCTGCGACTTTTACTACCCTCACTGCGACTTCTTCATCGTCGGCTATTTCTTGTACTAACAGGGCGCACACGGGTCCCACGCTTTAACGAGGCGGCAGGAATGATTGATAGATAGAAAGGAAATTTAAAGGATGTGAGTGGGGAAGGAAGCGAGGGGTTTTCCCTGGAAATGTACTTTCCTCATCTTCCGATTTCGACCATCTTTGTTCCAGGAGCATACACTCTGTTCCCTACAAGGGCTCCAACGGCTACTCAAATGGCTATTCGAATGGCTACTCTAGGTATTAGAAGCCATCCGGCCAACTACTATCCTAAACTCCCGTAGACACGCGTTTCTCTTTCTCTATCGAATGCTCTAGCTACCGACCACAGTTCTTCCTTGATGTCCCTCCTCTATTAGAGCGATATCCTTCGCGTCGATCCGACGACATGTCAAACTTGCAAGTGATGTCATGTTTCCATACGGCAAGGGAATCGCGATACTCCGTCGATTTTTGTCATCACCCTCGCCTATCACCCTCGCATCATCTAGTTCGTCCGTCCTGCTTCTTTGAGTTTTTTTTCGCTTCTGTTTATCCTCCTGTATTCCGAGCCTACACCCAGACGTCAGCCACATCAGAGGAGAATCTTCGATTCGACCCGACACCCGAAGCACCGTTGCAGAACCGAGAACGATGGAGGCTGTTTGGGATACAGCGACGTGGCAGACGATTGTAATTTCATCGAACTTTCTTTGTAATTTGACTCATTCGAACGGGTAATAATATTCTTGCTAGATATTGGCAATATGTGCCAAGCGATTGACGATATTTGAAATGTTTACGGAATTCGCTGTTTAAGATATTATTGGATACATGATATCAGGTATGCATAATTCGAGAACTCCCGCACCTCTAATGAATACAATAGTCAGTAGAACTGTACAAGATACACGAATATAAAAGGAGATGGATGCGATTATGGAATATAACAAAATAATTTATTTATCTGTTTAGAAAGATTGTTTAGAAATCTTTTTTCTTGGCGTGTTCTGCTTTAAATATTCATTACACATCTTTAATTAGACACATTCTGATTATCTCCATAAGAATTTTTCCACGTTAGCGTTACGATAAAATTGCCGATAATGTTGAACGAAGTTAGGCCTTCTTGTTATGCGCAATATCGATGTTTCGATCGATGGACAAACGACTAAGCTTCAAGAATAAGAAGAAGAGAAAACGATGTTTGCATATTAAATCGATCGTGCAGTTATAAAGAAGTCGGCGGTTCATCCGGGAATCGAAAAGGGCGATCCACATTCTTCCGCATTTTCATAACGAAAGCTATCACGACGCTGTTCCACTCGGGGCTCCTCGGGCTAACGTCCTAAATTGGACTACGTAATAACCCACTAGCTCTATAAGAGCGCTGGTCGGAGGATACACTGTTCGCTTCTTCGCGTGCTACCGTGGACCACGCCCAGGCCCGAAGCGACGTCTTCCTGACCTACCACCTGGCAATCAAACCGCGGAGCTACTCGGCTTCCCCTTCAAAAAGTCCATATATAATTTCGCGACGGCGATACGACAAGTCACATCGCCAGGATCGCCGATCGCAAAATCGTATCTCGCGAACGTGTGCGATTGTCGCATATGAAGACACGATCGGACACAACCTTGGGGCCACGTGGAGCTACAAGGTGGGTTCGCGGTGATATCGTTGACGCAAATACCAGTCAGCTGAGATCGGTTTCCAGCGGGTGAACTCTCGGCGAGATGTCTCTTCGATTCCGGCCGAGACGCGACTCATTGAAGTAGAAGAGGATCAACCGTTATTATTTCTGATCGTATCTCTCTTTCTTTTCCCTTTTTCTATATCATTTAGTTTCTCTTTTTCTTTATTCATATTCGTACGGATCGCGTGATATACGTAGGTACCTATACATGTCACTGAGAAAAATGTCTCATTAAATTAATTGGAATTATGGTTGCAAATGGACGGGTCAGAATTTTCTGGTTAAATCTACTAGAATTCTATTTGAGATAAACAGAATTTTGATATAATCAGAATCTTTTGCGTTTGTTCAATTTCAGCCAGACATTTTCCTCGGTGTAGTATGGTATATGTCACGAAACGTGAATAGAGGAAGGACATCGTGCGTGATGTAGCAATTGACACTATGATGCTCGAAGTAGGCAAACGTGAAATTATGTACGATGTAGATGTAGATGGTGATGCTGATTCCCACTTACTTCTCAGGATGCTAAATACGAGAACCAAGTAGGAAATCACGTGTTGTGGCGAGCATAAATATAATCGTCGCGTTCGAAATCGGTCAACTCGGATGCAAACTGCAGGAACCTTCAGTTCTCGTAGTGGAGCCGGTAGGAATATACACACATACGTACAATCGGAGAGATTTTTAAGATGTAAAGCTAATTAAGGTAGTAATTTCGTTTGCGGATCATGTTTTGATTATAATCAATGTTTTAAATTTTAACTTTACTTTTTTTGGTAATGTAAATCACAAATTGTGTGTGAAACTATTGGATAAATTTTTACGTATTGCTGAAGAAAGTCAAATTTAAATTCTTCACGTATGCTCCTATCTTATATGCTATATTCCTACTTTCTCTTCTAATATCTATGTTATACTTGATGCTATCGATATATCTAGAGACATATTGTGCGCAAAGAGATATCGCCTAAATTAACATAATCAGAATAAGTTCTTTCTTTTCCTCATTCTAATCACCCTACGACTCGGGTATCACTCGAGTCCATCGTGATAAATTGTAAAGAATGTATTTTTTGTATTAAATTTAATATATTTTGTGGCATGCTTTTCAAACTGTGTACATTAAAAGGAGAGAAAGTGTTTGAATTTGTACGTTAATGGAAGGTTAAGGATTTTGCGTGACTGGTTCTAATGTGTATCCTTACAACGACACCGTTAAAAATCATTTTGTTTTGATACAATAAGGACAAAACCGTACAAACATTCTTACATAATGTTAGCGGAATATGCGTATTTTTGCTACGGCATCTCGAGAATATCGAGAGCTGCCATTTAGCCTAATTCGCACAAATAAATATAAAAAAAATCATATAAAAAAAAAAGAAGAACCACGATGGCTTCGGGAGGAAACAGGAATTTTTTTCTAACTTTTGATTCTTCTTAGTGGAATGAAACCGCGGTCGTACTTTGTACATAGCTTAAATACGTATCAATGCGCGTCTTTAATATTATTATATTAATTATTATTATTGATTATTATTATTAATTATTATTTTATGGATGTTATCGAAATAGCGCTTAGTCATTCTGTATTGTAGCCGCCGATAGGCCTCACGAGTGTAGAGCTGCATTTCGTTGTACGGTATCATAGGAGTGATAATAATGTTATTTTATTATTATTAAAATTATTATTATATTATATTATTATATTATTACCATGATGTATCAATATTCATGCATGTATCGCTAGCTTTACACCACCGAGGCACACGGTCAGCCCGGTAGGAAGGTTCATGTTCTTTGTCTCTCCAAGAGAGATGAGATAACATGCGCGTGATGATTCCATGTATGCTTTCCGCAAATCGTATTGTATTAGTGTGTGTGGGAAAGTTCCACTCCAACGGACTACAAATAAATTCGCCAAGTTGTAAAATGCTATTTCGCCCTTCTTTTTTTTTCTTCATAAATCCTCTTTACCATTAAAACAAATCTGTGTTTCATGATTTTGAAAAATCTTTGTATTTTTGTGTGTGAATTTTTATCATGGGATGATTAGAGAAGCTTTTTTTTGACACTTACTTAAATTATTTTCGAATTTTACAGCACGGTACAGTAAGTATAATTAATCAACTATAACGGATTCTGATTTTATTTTATTGCAGCATTTTTTGTGTAATGTACATACAGAGTGGCGCAATGAAAATTCTAGTATAAGACAACCATTTTACAAATCGCCACTGATTTACAATTAATTTGCATCTGGTTGAGACGAGTTATGAGATGACTCAATCGTAGAAATTATCGGGATAATTCATTCCTGAGGATCACTCGGATTCGTCGTCACGCAAATCATAGCCAGTTAAGCGACGGCCGGCAGCTAGGCGAAAGAGAAGAGTAGCAGTACCTGATCAAGACAGATCTCCCGCAGGCGTGAAATAGCAGGACGCATGAAATCATCCTTCTTGTCACAATAAGTCAACTGACGATTAGTGGTATATTGTGTTCTAATTGATGTACTCAACAAGCATATTTTATTTAAAAAGTTAAAAATATGTGGTTATACCTACTTAAGTAAATTGGAGAACGCTTTATCTTTTCTTTTTTCAATAAGATTTATTACTTTTTGATTCTCTCTCTCTCTCTCTCTCTCTCTCTCTCTCTCTCTCTCTCTCTCTTCTCTTTATATATATATATTTAATCATCAATATACAATATGCTACATTAGTGAACAATGTTAAACAAACTATTGTTTAACGTATTTTGACGTCTTGTGCACAATTCTATCGTGCACTTTGTGCATTGTGCAACATACTTAAAGAGTTCGAAGTTGTATTCCATGAGCGAATAAGATTGTACACGGTGCATCCTGTTCACTTTATGTTGTGGCTGGAAGCTGCTCTCACCTCCTGGGGCAAAAGTCGTGAGCTGAATGTCATGGTGATTGAATACGACCCACTGATGTGCTTCCCGAGATATACAGACTACGTGCTATTGATTTTCCGCAATTTTTTCAGTGCTCCGTCTAATTGCTTTAACCATCAATGTTGTAACAATATTTTATGATTAATAAATAAATAAATGTTTGCTTACGTATCATGAATTTATGCCTAAATATATTTATGTTAAGGGAGTCTTTTTTCAATTAACTATTCTTCTACAAAGGACTTAATAAATAAATTGCGAAAAGCATGTATAATAGACAGACAGCAAAATAATAGAAATCAAATAATTTTAATTAATTAGAGAAATATTCCATATAAGAACTAATATTATTTAGAAAACGTACGACTGTCTTTGCTAGCAATATTTGATTGTTGAATAAAGTTTCTCTACTTTATAAGGCAGAACCTCTCTTCGTGCAGTTTCCTCGGTAACATTTCAAGAAATTCATTCGCACCCGCGCCTTCGATCGCGGTTTATAACTGCCTCCGCGAACCGGGCATGCAACTGATAAAGCCGCTTAGCACGGACCGCTTAGTACGGACGCGTTTCCACACGCTTAGTTATGGGCGTGTGCGGAGCGTTAAGCTAGCGGGCAGAAGCTTCCCATGGAACTCTCACCTCCGCGGGCGGAAAGTGAACTTCGCGGCCGACGACGTTCAGCAGTCGTGTAAGCCGCGACCACCGCTGCCGCCGCCGTCGCTGCCGTGGCCGCGATTCTTTTTCGGGTGAAAGGTTGGCGAAAAATGCCCGACGGCAGCTACCGCGGTAGCTCCCAATGCCACGGATCGCTTTCACTGCGGAAGAGATCAAATTTTTCTGCGAAATATCCTGGATTTCGACGGTAACAGAATCGTTACCTGTCGTATGATGAAACATCGTGTGAATTTAATTCTAACACTTCTGTTTAAAACTTTTCGAGTAAATCTCGCTTTTATATTATACGTATATTATAAATTAAACATTAGGCTATACTTTTTCTCAAGACTGATCAATTTTCATTCGTTAGTGTGAGATTCCACTCCAGAGAATTTAGAGAGTTTCATAATTTTACAGATCTTTGTTAGTGCACTTTGAAATTCTTAAAAAAGTATCATTTGAAAGCGGTAATACCGCGACACAAGGGTCAGGGACACGTAAAAGAAAGAAGAAGAGAGGAATGTGGTGGTTAAAACATAACTGTTATTGTGCTTGTGATTGCGTATTACTGCGTGTAACGATAATTATACAGGAAGAGACAATATCAGTTTCACATATAGATGCCACTCCTCTCAAGGATCTCT